CTTTTGGTTCCTGTCCTGGAACTAGCTCTTGTAGTCCAGGCTGGCCTCGAACTCACAGAGATCCGCCTGCCTCTGCCTCCCAAGTGCTGGGATTAAAGGCGTGTGCCACCACCGCCAGGCTTCTTTCAATTGTTACTGGTTCAAACATTAATAGTATGGATGTTAATGGCTGGTTACTTTGCTTCCAAGGGCATTATCACCCCTCCCTGTTTCTTTTTGCATTACTAGAGATGGAAATGAGGGGCCTGTACATGGTAGCTTGGGAGAGTTAGCCATCCTGCCATGCTTGTATTAGAACATGATCTTAAGATACACGCTATAGTCTTACTTTGCTTTTTTAGCATTCTTTTCTCCATTTTTGCTTTGTTTTCATATGGAACTTTTGGAAATTGTCATATAAATCAAGATTCTTATGCATAAATCCAAAACAGCCCAGAAACACTTAAAGACTTGCCAGATATTATCCAGTCTGAGAGAAATCTGAAAAGCTTTTCAAAACCTTGTGACTAAGGTTAAAATGTTATTTTTTAAGACTGCTGGGTTTTATTTTTTTAACCTGTGTTTTATTTGTTTTGCTTTTTGTTATTTTCAATTTTGAGGATGTGTTCAGGCCATCTTAAAAACTCTTCTCTTAGGGTCCTGATGCTGAGATAATAGGTATTTTACCATCTTGGGTCTGTTTATTTCAAAACAGCATTTGCATATTAGGGAAATGAGACATTAGCCTCTTTTGGTACTGATATATTTTCCCCAGAATATTATTGAAGCTTGTAATTTTCTGTAAGATGCATGTTGGCTTTCTTCTTTTTTTTATCAATAAGCATATTTTTACTTTCAAATAGCTTTTGTATACTATATTACTATGTTTCTGTTTAAGATTTATTTGTGTTTTTGGGTGTATGCATATGTGTATATGCACATGTATGCATGTACACAGAGGATGGAAAATGGTATTGAGTGCTCTGTATTACTTTCCACCAATACTTTTGAGGCAGGGTCTCTCCTTCTATTCATATTTTACAAATATATGTTTTTATTGCTGGTGGTGTTCTGTATTAATATGAAAATTAGCTTGTCTGGTGTCTTCCCCTCCTTCCCATTTTATACGAATTTAGTAAATTGATTTTGTTCGTTTCTAATTTTTAGCCTTATTGAATTTTTACTGTGTGGTAGTTTTCAGATGATTCTTTTTCCTTCCCACTCTAAATTCTTGCCAATGATTTTTCTTCCCTCTTTTCTAATGAATAGGTTTTGATGGTACCTTGTTTGATTATTTTAATGGTTATGAAGATTTAAAAAATAAAAAAATTCGATTTGTCGGACATGCTAACCAGAGAATTCAAGAAGACTATCTTCGAATTTTAAGATATTTCAGGTAAGAATTTGTAAATTTTAACAACAGAAAATTTCAGGTTTTTTTCCCCTATGAGCACAATCCTGTTTTGTGTTGTGCATATCAGTAGAAATATAAAATAGAGACCCCCAAGTACCTGTCTTCTGTGATGAGGTAGCACCCTTTGACTTTGAAAATGTACATAAACCATCCTTTATGGAATATTCTATATAAAAGCTTTAAGTTATTAATGTATTTTGCTTCATTGTGGTTTGAGTCCTCACCATGCACAGTGCTAGGTGCTCTGATCACAGTGAGGATGACTTAAAGTGTCTGCCTTCACAGAGCTGCAGAGTCTGAGATGCTCTGGGACAGACCTGCTCAGATGCCTCACCACAGAACGACATTGACAAAAAGAAAATGCTATTAAATGAGTGGCGAAATAAATCAGAATATAGATAAATATACTTAAAAGATGGATAAACTTGGTGAGTGTAAGATGCATGGATAGATTTGTGGGTAGCAGTGATTTTAATTTTTGTAGGCATGACTTTCAACTTCTATACATGTATATGTAATGTTGTGATACACTGTAATTTAAGGTAAAGCTCCTGTCTGCCCTCAAACACATAGCATGTTTGAGAAAACATCATATTCCTTCAAGCTTTTTGATTATCTGTATTACTCCAGTCTGCATCAGTGATGAGGATGTCATCTCGTGTGTGTACCTATTATCCGCGCCCACTGATGAGTCAGCTGATCCTCGGTTTAGACTCACCTTCTTTGACTACATTGATACATAACGAGATTATGCATTTCTAGTCGTTTTGTGTCTAGATTATTTAACAGTCATCTCTAGCTTCATCTATTGCTATACTTGACGGGATATTGCATCAGGAGTGGTGGCATATGCCTATAATCCTAACACTGAGGGATCCTAAGGCAGGAAGGTCATGAGTTCAAGGCCAGCCTTGGCTAACCATAAGTTTCAGGCCACTGTACCACATATTCAATGCGCTACATTTTCTAACAGTTGATCAGCAGTTTATTTTCAAAAGTGACCCACAGGGAACACAGGAGAGCCGGGGTCACCTCATACTGACCTGACTTTATTTGGATATAAACCATTGTCGATCTGTTTGTCTTCAGAGGATTCTCCCCATCTTTCAGTACCTATGCTAGTTTACTTCTGCTTAGCTTTACAAGTGTCTTTCTGTCTGACTTGTTTAGCACTTGCTGCCTTTGATAAGAGCCATTCTCCCTGGAGTGATTCCTGTGCATTTCCCTGGTGACTAGTGATACTAAACATGATTCATAGACTTTTTGATCATTTATACATTTTGCAATTATTTTTGAATTCCTTCTATAATGCCCCATCTGATGTGACATTTACAAACATTCTGTAGGTTTTATCTTGATAGTTTCTTACCAGGGATTAAAAAAATCCAAATTCTAACCTTGAATAAAAAATGCCGACCTGAGTAGTGTGCATCTGGTAACATTCACTGGCCACTTTTTGGGCCCACTCAGCATACTGTGTAGCAGGGCATAAGTATTTAGTCAATAAATCCAAGTTTTCTAAGTGAGTATATGCAAACAATCTGTCAAAAACAGACCAAACAGCAAAACTTTGAAATTGTCGCACTGTCTATGTTTTGTTGACCCATCACCTAGATGTATAGGGGACAACCCCGGGAAAAAAATGGAAAAATACTTTATATGGTGATAGACGTTGGTATAGAAGTAACAAAATTCTGAGGCTTGTCTTGGGTTTTTTCCTCTTTAATAAAACATTTTAAAAAACCTTAAAGAAAAAAAAAGTCACATGTCAAATGTCTTACAGGTTTTATGGCAGAATTGTGGACAAACCTGGTGACCATGACCCTGAGACTCTAGAAGCGATTGCAGAAAATGCCAAAGGCTTGGCTGGAATATCAGGAGAGAGGATTTGGATAGAATTGAAGAAAATTCTCACTGGGAACCATGTAAACCATTTGATCCACCTGATCTATGATCTTGATGTGGCTTCTCACATAGGTGAGCATAGGTTATACAACTATGTAAAAATTTTGAGCAACAAAAGACCTAGTTTAAAGTACATGAGGTAAAATGTTTTGTGTTATATAGCTAAGGAATTTTTAGTGGGGAAATTGTATTCTAAGATAAACATTGGGATTAAGGGTTAACAATTTATGGGTAAATCCAGTGAACACTTGGATTTGATGAAGCTGTGCCACTTACTGGCTTTACAAGTGGGTTATCATCAAAAAGCAGTTAGACCTAGCTACTCCTTCTACAAGAAAACTTAATATGTAGAAGTGAAGTCAGTCAGGAACACAGACTTACTGAGCAAGGAGTGGGTGCAGACAGGAGCATGAATGAGAAAGCATCTGCTGTGCACTTGACGTGACCATGGCTCCTGAGCCTCCTGCTACATCTTGCTAGGGAAAACAAGAACATGATAGGGTTTCCTAGGAGTTGAGAGTAACAGAAGGGCTGAGAAAAAAAAGTGGAAAAAGAATACTACTGGAAAAATACTTGATGGTGGACTGGGCAGTGGTGGCATATGCCTTTAAGCCCAGCACTCAGGAGGAAGAGGCAGACAGGATCTGGCTAGCCTGTTCCAGGACACACTCCAAAGCTATACAGAGAAAGCCTCAAAAAAACCACAAAACTACGTGGTATGAGAGACAAATGAGGGTTTTATAATTAAAAACAATGACTAGGGTTTTATGAATAAAAACAATGTCTTTTTTTTTTTTTTTTTTTTTGCCATACAGGTTTACCTGCTAATGCAAATTTAGAGGAATTTAACAAAGTCAGTAAAAATGTTGAAGGTTTTTCACCAAAGCCAATGACTCTTTTGGCCTCTTTATTCAAAGTACAAGATGATGTCACAAAACTGGATTTGAGATTGAAAATTTCAAAAGAAGAGAAAAACTTGGGTTTATTTATAGTTAAAAACAGGAAAGACTTGATTAAAGCAACAGATAGTTCAGAACCACTGAAACCATATCAAGACTTCATTATAGATGTAAGTATGTATTAGGTTTGGTCATAAAAATAGTTCTTCATTAACCAGAGAAGCATTTTTTATTCTAACTGTAGACTTTATATAAGTAAATAGTGGAATGAGATTGTGAATATTTAATCGTGAAAAATTGTGTGTTATTTAGTCAAGGGAACCGGATGCAATTGCCCGTGTATGTGAGCTGCTGAAGTACCAAGGAGAGCATGGTCTGCTCAAGGAGATGCAGCAGTGGTCTGTCCCGCCATTCCCCGTGAGTGGACATGACATCCGGAAAGTGGGTATTTCTTCAGGAAAGGAAATTGGAGCCCTATTACAGCAGTTGCGTGAACAGTGGAAGAAAAGTGGTTACCAAATGGAAAAAGATGAACTTCTGAGTTATATAAAGAAGACCTAAAATGAGCTCCATATGAAATAGTGGAAAATCTCGGTAAGACTGGTTTTATCTCCTTCTGTTTCTTACTTAAATCCTAAGAAACAACAGCAAGAAAAAATTCTTGTATATCAGTATAGAAAAACTGAGCAAGTCTATGTCCTCTCAATACAGGTTTAACTCTGAATTCTCCAAGTCTCTAGGAGTAGTGCCAATGAGAAAATTGTAGCTGTCACTTGTTTAGACTGGATGTGGTAACTGTCAACACTTGTGTGTGTTAAATAACTAGTTAATGTTGTCTTAGCTGTTCGATGAGTTTTAAAATTAATCCACAGTGCCATTCATTTACACAGGACTTTGTGATTTCCTTATGTGTGCAAAGCTTTCTATCAGGTCCCACAGATAGTGAGCACAAGTATTTGTTTTACTAATTAGATGGATATGGCTTAGAGTTTGATAAAATCACTCATGACGAAGCCCAAATAAGAGGGAGTTTAACCATGGAGCTCCTTCTGTTGTCACTACCTGCCTAAGCATGTAGGAAGTATACAGATGGAGTGCTATCCTTTAAACAGTACTGTCAGCAAGTAATGGTAAACAGTGTATGGATCATGACAGTACACTGCACAAGGAAAAGCAGAATTCCCTCACTTTATGACTACAGCTTAAATGAACTCAAGTGGAACTTAAAAAGTGACATTGAGTTACATTTTATTACTGTACTTCACTTTAAATTTTACTTAATTACTTTTTGACTTTTACATAATTCAACTAAAGTGCAGGTTTGGACATAGGTATTAAGTTTTGGTAAGTTTTATTTAAAGATGCCCTTTAATTGCTTTAACCTTTATTTCCTAAAGGACGTAATCCCAGAAAGATATACTGTTCACTTAAATGCATATATATTACTAATTAAAGGGTCTTACACATGACGGTTATCAAATAAATAGTGCAAATACACAAAATGCTATTTTTTTCTGTTCAAACTGCTTATTTTACTCTTTAATATTTTCAAAATTTACAAATCAGTATCTCAGACAAGCTAAAGAAAATTAAAAGGACTTTGTTCCTTTCAAAATAATATACACTGCTTTGCCTCTGTCTTGTGCTTGCCAACTGAGCTTCAGGAACATTCATCATTTAGTGGAGCTGTGCCCTAATCCTGTTCCATAGTCCTTCTCATCATTTCAAACATGTTTTCTTATCCCATCAATGACACATATTCAACAGGATAATTAATGGCTCCAAGCTACTAAAGCTGATACTTCTGAATCCAACCTTGTGTTTTACTCTGCTTTTTCATCCTCTGAACAAGTGTGCTCTTGAACTTGGTAGTCAAATGCTGTAACCACTATACACATATCAGAGACAGTGACCTCTGGAGCAGATCTGACTTGAGAAAATAATTTGTTAGGAAGTTACTCCTACAATACACTTACAAACAAAGTATTACTTTGTCTGGACTTATTTCATCTTCAGTTTCTGGAATTGTGGGTAACAGAGCAGAGCGAGTTAAGCCCCAGAACTTTTGAGGTGACATATCTTTTTTGGTGGCTGTAAATTTCCATCCAATGTGGCTCGCACAAATCTTACACTGGGCAATGGTCCACGCATACCTACAAAGTGAAGGAAAACACAAGCTAAGCAACCTATTTTTATTTTAACCTTTGATCTAGGCTTGTCAGGAAATTTCTCTGAAACCTCATGAATTTACAAAGCTACCTTACCAATACTGTATTGATACTATGATTTGATAATTTTATTACTATAAGTTTCTTTATATTGCTGTTTGCAAAGGACTGCATCGGTCCAGGCTTAACCTCACTGCTTTCTACTACATTATTTTTAGAGAACAGCAATCTTGGAGATACAGATGATGTAAAGGAAAGAGCCCATGACCTCCCTGAAAATAAGGCACTTCTGTTCTCAAGTTAGCAAGTTACCATTTTCCTCAGCTGGAGTATTCTGCATTTAGAGTTTACATTAACATAATTTGTTGGTTTTACAGTCTTCAAGAATGATGTTAAATAAGAGGGTTTTTTTTCCAGGTGCAGTAAAATCACTAATCCCTAATTCCTCTGCCACTTTCAAAGTAAAGGTGTGGCCCAGAATAAAGCAGGCTAGATAAACCAAGATTTTCTGGTTTTTACATCTCATTATGTCCCTGCTTAAGGCCTTTGAATCACCTATCAGTGGATCAACCAATAGTTGTAGTTACAGTGGATCATAAAGTTCTGCAGTGAGCTGACAGATACTTCAGTTTTTTACCCTAATATATGCAACGATACACACACACCAAGTTCATTTCTACCTATTGATGAAATGAAGATTAGTTAAAATTATTCCTGCCATATTTGTTTTGTATCATTTCTAGACGCTACACTGAAGACTAAACGAGGAATCAATAAAAAAACAGTGAACACAACCACATTACCCAGGAAACCAGCTGTGTACTGTAGAAGGCCGACCTATCAGATTCAGGTTGGAAGCTTTATATACAGTCAGTGTCTCATGTACATATCCATGAGGGTTCACATATGCTGCCATTGGACCACATAGGGATAAACTGTAACAAAGAAGTAGTATGAAGAATAAGATAGTGAAAAGAAAAAAACAGTAACTCCAATTTTTCCTTCCTGGGATATATATATATATTATTCAATATATAAAATATATATTAATCTTTGAATTTTGTATATACAAGAGATTGGCAGGTATTCTGTTTTTGCTTGAAAATTTTCTTTGGTGATTCCAGGTAAACACTATTGTTTAAAAAGCCTAATAAAAAGGTCATATTTATTCATCTTTGGACAGTTAGATGCTTTGAAGACATCAGTTTCCTTTCTTGATTTACTGTCTTATTTTATAATTCTACTGAATTCATCAAAGTGTTAAACTCCTGTATCACAGCATTAACACATATTCAGGCATGCCCTATTTTGGTCATTTGTAGTTGAAAGATAATGCTTGAAGCACTCATCTTGTCAGAAGATACAGTACCTCAAGCTTAAATCTTGAGGGAAAAATATATTGTATATATATTGTAGATATTTTCAGCCCGGGAGACAGCCTTACCCAAGCCAAGTTAACTCCCTGTGTTTATTTTCTTTATTGAGTATATTTTTTAGGCACTGGAAGAAAAATTTTAAAGGAAGTTGAAAATGTATTGAGAGAGTTATACTAAATGTAATAAAGAGCTTACCTAAATATTTCATTCTTGGTTGTTATTTCTGTTTCTTGACACTGTTTACAGCAAAGGGAAGTACACTAAAAAGTTGAAGTGCAAAAACAGACATGTTACCCAAATCATGAATAAACTTCTTTAGGGTACAAATGTCTTGGCTTTTATATGTCACACTTCCAACCTGATAAATTTATATGAAGCCTAGGATTATTATTTAAGGATTGCAAAAATTCAGATTTTCAGGTTGACTATAACTTATTCAAAGGTATACTGACTGCATGTGTGTGTGTATATACATATATATGTGTATATACATATATATATATATATGATGTGTGTGTGTGTATATGACTTGATTGTTTAAACATCCTAACCCCCAGATTTGGAATGGTCTGAATTACAGAACATTTCAGATTTGAGAAAAGCTTTTCAGTACAAACCAGAAGAAGCAAACAAGTACCTCTCCAGTATATGACTGTATTCCTATACAATAGAGTAGCTTCTGATCTCAACAGTGTGACAATCCACACAACAGACATGTCATCTTTACTTACTTTATTCATGATATCTAATTCACAGCGAAGTCGTTGAATAGCACTACCAATTTTAAGGAGCTGAATTCTCAACACATCATCAATAGGAAGACAAGCAGCTACTCTGTAAGAAAAGTCTTAAAAGACAGGGAGAGGTATGCAGGCTTTAAATTTAGGAATCATTAATATATACTTATATTCCAGCTACCTTCCGTTAAGTCAAACATACTTGAATGAAACTGACTTACAAATGTAGAAATGACAAAGCTAAGTTCTGGAGCCAGATTTACTTGTAAAAGCTCTATAAAGAACAGGAAGTGTCTACATGAGAACCACTTCTGCAATTCAAGTTTAGGTAGAAAATTAACAATAGATTCTATTGCTTAAAATATTAATTTCTTGAAAAATGTTTTTCAAAGTAAAAGAGATACAAATGCCTTTTCAGAATTCATAAAAGGTGAGTTTGAATTAAAGGCTTTTTTAAAAAAAAAATTTCCAACAACATACCACAGCTTGTAGTATTTGCCATACCTATTGGATTCGCAGGAAGAGAATCATCTTTGAGATTTTCATCCCATTCACGTAGCTGTTTCTTAATTCTATCCATTAATGTTTCCTGGTTTAAAATAAAAGTAACCACAATAAGGTTCAGCCCCTTTAAAAACCATACATTGGTACTAAATCTGAAACCAGACACAATGTTTTTACAGGTGGAACTGCTTGCCTCTAACTCCTTTGACTAGCAAGTAGGTCAACTTCCCTGGCTTCTCACTCTTAGGCTGTCTATTCCAAGGACTATGTGATTCTAAATGCCTCTGGATGCTGTTTTAGACTGCTGCTTGAACTGGCTTCTCTTCTGACCTTTCCCAAGCCTTTCCTGGCTCAGTGCATTTGCTACACACCCCACTTAGCAACTAGTTACTACAGAAAATTGCTATCTATCTTTCCAGGCATTAACATTTTTTGCAGACTGCATCTGTGCCTTTGTAAGGTTCAAGAGCTACTGAAGGGCAGAGGGCAACTGTGTTTTCTTTTAGTGGTACATACATCATACTTGCTCAAATTACTTGTTTTATTTTCCCAGTTCCTTAGATTTCTTGGCTGGGATTCACTAAGAAATACAAGTAATATTTGTTTAATCTTTACTATGTAATAGTTTCTATTATGCCCATCTGCCTCAAACAACAGTGCAACTGATTGGGCTTTGAAGGCATTCATTGTATTCCAAATCAAGATTCTTCAAGTTATCCTAGTATTCGGTCTCTTAGTGATTTTGCTAGCCCCTGTCAGTGCGTACTTTTAACTGATAGCACAAGCCTGTGTAGATGCATCAGTTACTATGCTAATGATACAGAGATACACTGGAATGCACTTGTTTGGAAAACAATATTCTGATGTAAGAATTCTTATAGTGTGGCCTTCACATGACCATAATTTCAGTAACCAAAAATGTGTCATCCTATTTTGCTAAGATACAAGTCAGGACTGGTAAGTTACTTACAGCGTCATATAATGAATACAGCCAGCGAGGCCATGAAGTCAGATTTGCACAGTGAAACTTTCTCTGAAACAAAAAGTGTCACTTAGGAAAATTCAAGGGAAAGGTACAAATACTACAAACAGTAACACCTAAAATTTCTAATTTTTAAAAGCTTACTGATAGATTATCTGAAATGTATTCACAATCTTATGGTACGTGATTATAGGAAAGGCATTCTTATAGATGGCAAACACTTTCAACACCTTAATGACAGTGCACTCTGAGAAATGCTCGTCAAAAACAGCATTCAACACAGAGCACCAGGGTGGTTACTATACACCTGCAAGCTCCATTGGCATATTACTATACTGAGTATGCCAGCAACTGAAACACAATGATAAATACTCGTGTATTACAAACTATGCTTAACAAATATAAAAGAATAAGAAGTGTTATGCCAACATGGGGGACTTACCACGGATGGATTATGCAGGACTGTTCATTGTTCTGGGTGGGCCAGTGGTAGAGAATGAATAGAAGACCTAGGATATTACTGTCTGAATAGTGTGATAGACTATATATAATACATATTAAATATATAAAGTATTTTATTTGGTAATTTCGTCAAAGAAATTCTTCAATTACAGGGGACATGATTCTTTTTGCCATCCCATTACAGGGCCCCAACCTACAAGCAAACTAGAGTCTCAATTCCTATTGAAGAAAAGGACTTCTAAAAACCTTTATTCCAATTATTCTGGGTCTAAGAATTCTATGTACAAAAAAATGTGTTTAATGTTTAATAGTAATTACACAAACTGAAGGGAGCAGAACTGTTTGTTCTTACATTCATGAGTCCCTCTTGACTTTCAGCACTGTGAGGGGCTTCTATCCTGTGTGGATACTGTTGTTAACTTTCAGCAGATTACAAGTGCTGCTCAAGGCTTACTTTGTAAAATGGGCCAGACTTCAATAGCCACCAAATTTAAGAACTTAAAGGGACTAAGAACAGACTCTTCATAGAATTTGTAGTTGTTCATGGAACAGATTGCTACTGATAGCATGCATAATGATCTTTGAAACAAAACTGCAAAAAAAAATTTAAAAATGATGAAAGGCCAATCAAACTGGCAATGAAACTAATAGGACAATGGAAAAGCAAAAAAAAAAAAACCCTTAAAAATCATTCCACAGACTTCTTTCATTACATGGAGTCCAGAGATATTTTTGTTTTATCTATTATTGTGAACAAAGTAAATGATAAAATTTAGTTAAATAAATTGGAAATTGACAGGTTTTGTTTTTCTTTTACCAAATTTCTCTTAGTAATGGGAGCTGGTAGGATTTTACTATTCTAGTGACTGATAAACTAGTGGTAGATATATAAATATCTATGCATAGTATGTGTGCAAGGCATGAAAAAAAATTCACAAATCTCTCTGTGTTAATACCTGACTACACCTATCTTAGAAACAGCTTAGAAAGTTTCATTGAAAAGGGGGCAGTGAGAAGGCCAGAGGCCCCATTTATACCCAAAGTGCTTGTGAACGTGAGAATTCGTACGCAGCACAGTACATGTAGGCTGACACAGTATCAGAAGAAGTAAAAGATGAAACTAATCTAGTCTGAGGCGGCCCCTCAAATCACTGAACTCTCAGAAACTAAATGGAACAAAGACAAGCCACCTGAAAACAGTGACAGGCTGGATAAACTGCACATGGACTCTTGTTTACATAAAATTCATTATCAATAGAAAAATCGTGTGTGTCCTCCCTTGGGAAGTTATTAGTTACAGTTTAGAACACTAAGGCAGTGTACTAAAATAGAATTAAGTAAAGACCCCTTAAAAACAGCACACCATAACCAACACTAACGTGACAAACGAAACAGGCTTGTGACTACAAAGATAACAACTGTCAAAGAGTTCTGAGAAACCGGTGGGCCACTAGGGAAAAAATACGGATAAAAACTTCCTAACTTCATAAGAAATACACAAGTCCCTTAAGTAAACTGCTATAAGTAATTATGTAAATTAAGTTAAAATTAAACCCACAAGGTACACTTACCAGATCAACAAACATGGTTGTATATTAACTATGAAACCGTGGCAACAATGAATACCAGCAGGTAAATAACTCCTTTATAAGGAAAACTACAAGCCCACATTGTCACTTCATCTCACTATTAGGATTGAGCATATGTATGTATCTGTGCAAAGGGTATCTGTACACTTAGTGTAGGTGTCAGAGGTGACCAGTGTAAAATACAGCAGCCTGCTGCAGCTTTAGAAAGGAATGACGCTGTGTCTATCAAAAGATACAGAGGAGTCTCCTGTAGGACACTGTTAGTAAAAGAGAAGGTCAACAGTAGTGGATATCCTTTTGCATAAGGTGCAAGAAAAATGAATATCTGTATCTTTATAAAACTAGAGCATTAAAAACTAGAGCAAGTTTGAAGGCTTTGGAAGTACCAAAACCCAACATCTAAACTTAGAAATTATTGTACATTTCTTCGTTATGGGGAAATCATCAGTTTAAGAAGCATGTTTTATACCTAAAGCTATTTACACATACACCTACTGTGAAGTACATATCTCCCCATGAAGCAGAACCGATTTCGCTTTTCTCCTCAGAGGTGAACTTATGTAGCCAATGGACTACATAAGATGTAATGCCAAAACAAGCACCCTTGGCTTTCTTCTAGGCAAGACTCCAACCACTGACCTCCATTCCCAGCACCAAACAAACAATGCCTTACCCTCACAAGTCAATTTTTGCCGCAATCAGCAGCATGCTGCAAAACAACTGACAAAAATTTTCCTCTGAAAAGTTTAAGGACAGCGTTCTTTTCTACTGTCACTGAATGCCAGCCCAAACAATCTTGTCCCTTCTTCAAGGCTACATTTAACTCAAAAGCCAAATAATGTGACTAGAGTTTTCTAAGGTTCCTATGGAATTAAGGGCCACAGGCCATTAATACATACATGATAAGCATAATACCAACAGTGTCTAAGAATTGTGTGACATTTCACAACTACTGCGAGTTATCTTTCATAAATAACTCCTCGTGAACTATTTTTTAAACCTGCCTATGACCAAGTGAGCTACAGTGTCTAGAAAATGTCATGACAGCTGTGACTCTTTAAAAGCAACCTGTCTTCAGTTCTAGAAGATGCATAAAAAAATTAGTGTCTCACCTTCTGGTATTTCTGCCACCATTTACATGAATATTGGTCTTCCCAAGAGACAGGTTTTGAAGGAAATATCTGGCACTTATTGAGTGATTCTAACTGAACTGCAGACATGGTTGATGGCAACACACACTCTGGCAAAATTTGCACTTTAGCTTGCTGGATTCTAAAACAAAGAGAAGCATGTTGTTCATTTTGAAAATATAATGTTAGTTTCTTGATATAATTTTAAATAAGATTTTTTCCAAGTTCCCCACTTTAAACAAATGGAACAAATACTATATTTGTAATGTATGTGTATAAGAAATTTTCAAAACAATTGTTTAATAAATCTTAATATAAAATATAAGAGATAATTTAGATTTCATTCTCACTTGTAGAATCAAAAGAAACTATACATTTGAGATAAGTATGTAGGCACAAATGAAGCAAAATTTATTTTAAAAATTCAGCATAGAGCCTACAGATTATCCTAACACATCTAATTTCATAGATATTCTTAGGTAACTCTCCATCCCCAAGTCTCTAGGCTCACACACTCTTTGTCATTAATATCCAGGCAGCACAAACAGGTAGAGAAAGGAAAAGACATAAACATACACACACACAAACTGGATAAGCATACATACATACATACATACATACATATTCTCCCTCTCTGTTTCTAGACAAAATTTCATTGCACCAAAGACAATGTGGAACCAGTGTCCTCTCTATCATGCCAGGCCTTTGTCTGCAGAACTAGGGACAGATAAAGGAAGCCCTCGTGGTCCTGTTCATGCCTGGGGTGGGTGTGTATGTGTGTGTTGGTTCTTCCTTAGGTGTTTATGACAGTTACTTTATGATTATAACAACATGATTTTATAACAGACTACAAAAGAATGTGAAATTGGGGGAAAACTGTAAAATTTAAGATTTTGCATTTATTGTAATGCCTGTTGAAACTACTTACAGATATAGATGGGTAATGTGTAAAGAAAATCTAGGAGCATCTACATCCAAATGAATCTGCAAACCCAAAGAAACAACCTTGTCTCCCCCCAAAAATCAAATGTTACTCTAATATAAGTTTCAGCTAAAATGTTTGTAATATATATTTCAAACTTTTTGACTAAAATTTACTTATTTCAGATATGCTATATAAAAAAAATCTCAGAATTTCAACAGGATATTAATCTTTTTCTGTATACTTATAGGAAAGATTTCTGAAGAGTCCTACACCAAGTCAAATATACCCTTCTATGTGTTATTTTTTTTAAAAAGTCTATGTATTTGAAAAAGAGACTTTTAATAGGAAAGGTTAGAAGCAAACACTGTACTTCATTTATGCAGTATCATTTAGGTCAAAAATAAAAACGAAAAAAGTGAATCTTAAACTACAGATTATTTCATAGAGTTAAGTTCCCAGTGTGCTAAGGAGAAACTTTGGTATAATGGTCAACAGCTAGTTTGGGAGTCAGAATGTGGATGAAACCATCTGTTTCTCTTTTACTTGCACAATGTTTGACAAGTAACCTCACTGGGACTTAGTTTATTTTCATTTGCAAAAAGAAGAGACTGCCCTAGACCACCTTCATGGTTTCTTAAATTCGTCATTTAAGTGACGGTGGTCTCAGACCAGGGTGGGAGTGGAAGCAAAGAAATCTTAATCCACGAGGGCTTTCAAATTGAGACATCTTTTTTGAGAGGCTTTAATATATACTAGGTCTATAGAATACTAGAAAGAATTAATATGTAGTAGGTCTATAGAATACTAAAAAGGATTAATATATACTAGGTGTATAGAATACTAGAAAGAACACATATATATAAGGTCTAAGGAACACTAGAGAATTAATATATACTAGGTCTATAGAATACTAGAAAGAACTCCCCTTTCTAGGACTAGTCCACATTTGCCAGTGTGATGTTGGTCTTTACTAGATTGTAACCGTGTCTCTTGAACTACTTTCTCACAGTGACTTCTTCCAGCTTGTGTTTTAGAGTTTTACACAACTAATTATTAAAGTCACATACAGAAATATACTTTTTCCCAACTCAATTTCTTTTATCTAGAAAATAATAGTCAAAGAAAATCAAATTGTATGAACTTCAATGTATATAGGAAGTAAATTAAAAGCTGTTGTTGTCAGCAAGATCCACGGTAACAAAATACCACAATACCCAGATCACTTTGTACTCATTCACCTAACACTGTCCTAAATGTAGACCATAAAAGTTTCAGTCACTTCTCTGGCAGTTTGTCTATTGAGGGTTTCAGTCATACAACTTTTTAAGACTTGGAGTCTATACAATGAAATGTTCTAGGCAAGGACCAGGAGAAAAGCCCCTCAAGTTGGGACACCCCATCCAATATCCTTGTTTTCTTGTCCCGAAATGCTGCCTGACCACATGCACTTCTGCATGACTATTTACAGCTGCTTACAACATGAACACAACAAACAACAAATCTTTTTCTCATGCAGCTCACATTCTTGTTGATCCCTAAAACCTTCAAACCTTCCTGTGCTCAGATGACATATGAAATAAAAAGGTATGACAGAATTTTCAGTTCTGAACACAGACTAGATTCCCTACAACTATCCCCTATAACTAACTATAGACCCCAGAGACTATCCCCTAAGACATGACAGTGGTTCCTATGTGTGCCTAAGACATGATACCAGGAAAAAGAAATGCTTACTTCAAATTCATTTCCTTTTTAGGAAGAGGGGTAATTAGCAGAATTTAATGGGAAAAGAAAATAGCTGATCATATAAAAAGCTAACTATGTGACTGCACTAGGATTCCCAGGAATCTTGTAAATGTCACACAGGGCAGCGACAATGGCATTTCTTCATTCTTCATATCAAGGCATCTTGGGATGATACAGAACTCCCACTGCAAACAGCCACAAACCTCGGTGGCTGGTACAGCTCAGGGTAGCAGTTGGCAGATGTACTCAGTGTAGCTTTCAAACAGCCCAGGAATGCTGCCACTGCCACCCCTGTCCCGGGGAACACAATGAGCACAGCCTTTGCCTTCTATTCTCCTGTGCTGCAGAGAGCTCTTCAGTCCCCCAAAAGCCATGCCTCATATTACTGGTTTCAAACCCGGAGGGATATTGCAGTTGCCTAGAAATAATTTTTAAACGATGCCACAGTCACACTCCATATTAAGTCACATCCTGGGAGAGGAGATGAGGCCAAAACTGAAGCCTGAATAGTTTACCCTGGACAAGGAAGTCTGCTAAACATCAGGGTTGGAAACTATGGCCATCACCATAGAAGGCAAAGAGAACAACTAGTGAAGCTATAAAATAGCAAATGACCACAAAACCACCTCCCTCTATGAGGTTGAAGTGTCTTACCCATCTGACTGTGTTCTAAGTTCAAGGACCTTGAACCTCTGCCGTCCAATTGCTTTCACTTTCACTACTTCAATTCCAAACTCCTGCTCTTCTCGATAAGCATAAATCTCTGCTGTGGTTCCGAACTGTGCTTCCCTTTCTTGCGCATTACTTCCAAGAGAAAAATGTACAAGAAGAGTTTTCAGCTTTAGCCTTTAAATACACAAAACCGGCAAAAGCAATATAGACAGGAAAGCAGTTTACAGCAGTGAACCTTCACTGTAAAGCTAACACAGGAGGCTCCAGAGAGCAATTTAGAATGAGGGTAGAGTTTTAGAGTCACTGAAATAACCTAGGGCTAAAGAGTTTTAAACTCATTTCACAACATACATATTCTTTCACTTTGTTAGACACTGATGGTTGCTGCTAATTAGCAGCGCTAAGCACATGTGTGTGGGGAGTGTTGGGGGTGATGGGAGGCTTCCTGTTTCCATTTCCTGTCTCCACCACATTTCCTTCATTTGCCAAAGGCTACTTGAAGTACCGCTTCAGTTTACCACTGTTTTGTATTGGTACAACTTTGTGAGTTTTGAAAGGGAAAAGTAACCTCGGTATGAAATATAAAATCCTAGCTGTCTGAATAAAAACAGTTCTGAACTCGCATTCCAGGCAGGTTTCCCATTAAAGGCATGCAAGCTTTTCAACAGCCAGACAGCTAAATTGTAAAAGTAAATGTCTGACTTACAAAGTAATGAGAATAATATTCCCAATTTGAGATTTGACAAATTGCTCGCTTCACACTCTAATCCAACATCTTCTGAAAAATGCCAGTTGGCTTTGTTTACCGCCCTGACCTTGCTGTGACAACACAGAGGGCAGCACAGTCCACAGGTCACCTAACCTCTTACCTGTAGGCAAGAACTGCAAAGGTTCTGTCTTTTTGGATTAAATTCCGCACCATGCTGACTTCTTGCGGGTGGGAAAGCTGTAGTGGTAATGTCTGCCCAGGAATCAGGATCATCATCACTTGAGGAAGGACTGGAATTACCTGACAGCTGTCATCATCATGCAAAGTCCTCCCATGAAACTCTTCCATATCAGCGCCCAGATACTACTCAAGAAAACACACAGAGTCAGGACACTTAATAAACCATAGCAGATTAAAGGGTAGAGCAGAGTCAAAGAACTACATAGACAGAGCACACACATTTATTTATATAAGCTTGGTTATATAAGGACACCTCCATCAAACTCTAATTTTTGATCTAATATTGTCTATTAGAACTCCCAATTTTTTATGAAGAATGTCTCAGTGTTTTGTAACTTAAGATATCTTATTTTAACCAACAACCCCTTTGTGTCAAAATATGACAACTCATGACAGAATGCTAGTAAGCAGAATTCCACCCCACATCCCAGCAGTACCAAGAATACACTCTTGGTGGCTTAGTTAATAGTAGAATTGTTCAGAGGAAGACAATTCCTCAAAGAGGCACACCCAGGATAAGTTTAAAAGTTAAGACTGTATGTTTGCATTTTAGAAAATAGTCAAGAATCACAGGAGAATATAGTATTGCATTGCTTCAGTTTGTAAAATTACATTCTTATGTACTGGGAGATAAGAGCCCATTCTCATCCACAAGTTCTAGGGTCAGCTAATATGCAGGGATCCTTCAGTCAGTCACTGCCATTTAGGAAACTCTAAGCACATTAAAGGTCCATCTACTGTATTAGCTCAATTGCAAAATTACATACTGTATGTGACGTTGGCAGGCTGGTGTCAAAGTTTATGATGTTTGGTTTTCTGGCGTCTCTACTATCCTGGTCTTCAACTTCCATTTCAATTTCATCTTCCTCATCTTCACTCTCTGCTGAAGAAGAAATAGAAAAAAAAAAATGAGTTTTTTTTTTTTTTTTTTTTTTTTTTTTTTTTTTTTTTTTTTTTTTTTTTTTTTTTTTTTTAAGGCAGCTCTGTGGCTTTCACATGCCCCGCCCTGAGAGGCAAGACATTCACACAAAGACAGCCATGCAGGGGCAGCAGAAAGAGACCTTATGCTTTTTCTACCACCATAGTGCCTTCCTCCTTTCCCCGATTTAAGAAACCAACCGTTTTAGAACATGTTAAGATTTACAGGAATGTTGGAAAAACAGAACTCTAGTATGCCAAGACTTTATGTTCTTCCACAGTTAGCACTGGACATTCATTTGGGATCTTGTCGCAACTTGGCATATTACTATTAACTAAATTCCTTATCTTTTTGGATTTCTTTAGAATTTTAGCTAATTTCTATATCCTGTTATAGACTCCCCTCCAGGATATCACATTCTATTTAGGTATCATGGCTCTTTTGCTGCCTCTGCCCTCCTGTCTAGGGAGAGCCAGATCATTCAGAGTACATATCAGGTATTTTACACAGCATTCCTCAGTAAGGATCAGCTTGATGGAACTCTCAGGATTCAGCTGAGGCTCGTTGTGTTTCCGCACCTCATATCAGGGGTACATACAGTCAAGCTGACCTAGGGGCTGACGTTCCCCCCGATCACCTGCTGGGACACAGCACGCAAACTCCTTCACAGCAAAATTCCCTTTCCCTTCTTTCACACTGTACTTTTAGACAGTAGATCACCAGGCACAGCCGTCTAAGGGAAACAGCTAGATTATGTGTAATTCTCCTATATTTTTCTCTTTCTCCATCAAAATAATTCTGACCCTTTATGTAATAAATTCCAACTGATTAAAGCTGAGCTGCTTTATCTGAAGAAAAAATGAAGGCTTGGACACACTCATCTCTGAGGATATTTCAAACTCTAGCTGTAAGAAGTTCCTCTGTGAAAAAAAGCAAGAAGAAATAAGCAGGCAAGAAAAATCTGCTGGTTACACTGGAAAAACGATTCCATTAAAACCTAGCAGAGGGCACTGCTGTCCCAATGACGCCTCTCCTGGCAGTCACCATCATATTTAAAAATGAAATGTTTGCCACTCTTTTCATACAGACATTGCCTTGTCATTTTAAATTTGAAAATGTTGGCAGAAAGAAAAAAATACATTTTTAAAGGAGATTTAAGAACTCTATCTGCACATACTTTTCTAAATTTGAAAAGTAAGCTGATCTACTTTAAAACCTGGTGCTACCAAGGGCAGAGATGAAAGCCCCCCCCCCAAAACAACAACAACAACAACAACAACAAAAAAAACAAACTGCTACTTTATAGATGTGTTACTCTATCTCATAGGAACTGTTCTTCTCCTGCCAACTGTGGCTGCATTTTCCACCCAAGGATAATTTTGTCCCTTTATGATATTTGGAACTGTCTTAAGATATCTTTGACAGTCACAACTAGAAAAATCTTGGAAATCCAGACTAGGTATTGGTCAGGCATGCTGCTAAATACCCTGTACTGCTTAAGGTACATCTTACAAGGGGTTCTCCAGCTTGAAACACTGGCCTAAATGAGATCCTAAACCCACTAAACTTTGTGTGTGTGTGTGTACACACATATACATATCCTCCTCCAAAACTTTTAAATGCATAAGATTTGATTACAACTTGGTCAGCTTTTTCACTGTGAAATTATTTTTTTCTATCAAGCCATCTGTAAGTAGGTTCCTAACAGCACAAAGATTTTACAAAAAAGTAAATGCCTAGAACTTTGTATTTATTATGAATTCCTAGATATAATATTCTGTCAGAGACAAGAACATAATTATTTTAAGTTGTATGCAGATAGTTGATGCTTGACATTTCTGAACATGTTTTTCTCGACAATAGGAAAGTTTCATCAACAGATAAGATGAAGCTAAAATGATGAGAGAAACATTCTGAATGTAATTATTTCACCTGCAACCCTAAAAAAACATAGATTTGACTTGACATTTGGAGAGACCCATTCTCTTCTCTACTACAGCAAGCTTAAAAGATCTGCTATGAATTCAAGGGCGGCAGTTATACAAAATTTACACTTGACATTTTCTACTTTTATTCTTTAAAGGGATTTGTTATGTATGGTGTCCAGTCTCATAAACAAAGCTAAAAGCCACTTCTCCCACTTGGAAATGTTTATCTTTGAGCACTTAATTTTTCCAGGGTAGGTTCTTCACACCTAAAATGTTAGGCAATTTCTTTAGCACCTAAAGATGATCACTTTCCAAAGCAGCTTACACTACATGGACTCAGGGGGCAACCCAAAGTTTTCCCAGAAATTGAACTCTTATAATTTGGAAAACCATTATTCTACATCTACAACATCTGTGAGTCGCTTACTTCCAGCATCTTAAATTGAGAAAACACACAGGGACTTTTCAGAGCTACTGCTACACTCACAGCAGCCTCTGGTGAATGCCAACACAACATGAACACCCTCCTTGGACTCTGCCACTCTCCTTAAATCTTAAGCACATCCACAGTGGAGCTGATGTCGCTGGCATCTCTTCTGCTGAAAGATGACTTACCTACCTTTACCAACTTCAGCGAGTACAACTTCACAAACAACCAGTGACTCAGACAAAAGTGCCTTCTATGCCCTGGCATGGCACCCAGCATTTCCCTCCTGCAGGCTAAACCATTACCTAGTAACAGATTCATACCCAAAGGACACCTTTCCTGAGGTGACTAACTTAAACCTGAAATTATTTCTTTACAACCCACAAAAAGTTCCTAACTCAAATGACTAAAGATGCAAGTTTTCAACAACTTACAGCTAACCTAGTTCACAACTGTATCCTAAGTAAATCTGTATCACAAGATTGTTCGATTCCTCTAACCCCAGCATAGTCCCTATCTCTGACGAATCACAGGAGGAATTGGAGACCCAGCTCAAGAGTATTTGGGAGACCCTAGTATTCAATCCAGCATAGCAATGAATGAAACACAACCCCCTAAACCTTAACAGCACTTGCCTGTCTGGCCCTAGATGAACTGCACCCGAGATTATAATTATTCTCATTAGCCTCACCACAACTGTGAACCCTCAAGTAGAATGGTGTGTGCGGTGGCGACTTTCATACTAACACACTGCCAGGTTTATAACCTAAAGCCTCAGGTAAAAGTCTGTGTTGTCTACAGCATTCTAGGAATAGTATGGACCACTACTTCATGCCCTTTTAATATTCAGTACTGCAACGTATATAGGGGCATACAGTGAACAGGAAAGAGAAACTGGTAATACCACTCCCTTGAGTGATAATATGCAAGCATACTATTTTCATACCAGGGAAAAACCACCAAATATGGCCTCGACAGACAGATAGCCATATATAAAACGATACCTGAGGTGCTGACAAGCACCCCGCAGAGCTGTCTCTACAACTGTGTGACCTTCCATATCACTAAACTATACAGACATTTAACAACTCGTCGATACATCTCTCCTCTACAAGCAAGGTTCTGAACAGGTGACAGGGGTAGCAGCAAAAGCAGAAACGCATGCAAAGCGTTCACTTCGTGGCGCGTGACGTGTGAGTGCTTAGTACATATTAGCTGTCAGTCTTATTAAAAGACAGACGTGCAGGAAACGCAGCGGCTACTAATGTAACCCGGTTTCGGACGTCGCCGGGTTCTAAAGCATTTCCGTGGAAGCTTGCCAAGGAAAAAGATGCAAAGGATTGGGTCCCTGCTCTAGGAGACGAAAGTCCCTCGCCCCAACAACCCCCACAGCGCAGGAGACGGAGGCCGGGGAGTGGAGGACGCTGAGCTGCAGCGGTCGGGGCTCATGAGAAGCTCCCCGACTCGCCGCTGCACCCCGGTTGCTGTCCTTGTCCTCCCTGAAGGGTCGGCCCCGGACCTCGCTCTCCACCCATGGCCAGGCGCCCGTCCCGGAGGTTACCAGGCAGCAGCGGCAGGTGGTTGCCCATGTTGTGCGCAGCGTCCGGCTGATCTTCCTCGTCGGCCATGTCTGTTTACCCGCAAAGGAGCCTGGGACAGGGCGGTGCCGGGACGCAGGGGGAGGATCCGCTGCGTGCTGCCGCCTCGCGCCCGGGCCACAGCGCCCCCTGGCGGCTCCAACAGGCGGTCAGCGACACAGCGGAGAGAGCTGGAAATGATCACGTGAACACCCAACCAAGATTGTGAAGCTGAGTTTTTAGTGTCCACCTTAACTAAACAAACTTCCTTATACAGCATTCCCTTCTGAAAGGAAGTATGGAAAAGAATATTCGGAAAAGACATCGACTTTTCCAGGGACAGTTGGGATACAACTAATTTTTAAAACAGTTTCAGGAGTCTTCATAAACAGCTCAAAATTAACATGTATCAGTAAGAGGCAAAGGCTTGCAGAAACAGCAAAAGTCAGATAGTCACCTGGGAAGTAAAACTGTCCGGATATAATCATGCCCAGTCATAATGGCTTCACTAAGAGAAAATGAACCAATGTGTGGTAAAGCAATTAAAATATGCCAGAAGAGAATTGTTTGAGCACTGACAGTTAACATCTTTCCAATAAGTTTTCACTGAAGGAAAAAAAACTGAAAAAAAAAAAAAACAAACAACCAGAATGACGTAGTATACGTAAGGAAGGAAGTGGTGGTAGTGGTGGTGGAGAATGAGAGGAAGGGAAAAAGAAGCACAGAAATCTAATGAGTCTGAGGTTTTCAGACTTTTGACTGGCAGAAAATTTGTGGCATTGAAAAGTCACAACCTGCAACCCTTTTTTGCAAGAGTGCCCGCAGTCAATCCCACATCGCTCTGCCTCCTGACCCTGAATCACTCTGTGGCCTTGGCCAAGCCAATTTTATATCCTCAGGACTCAGTTTACCCAGTGTCAAAACCAGAAAATAAATCGTGTCCAAGCTGTGTCCTTTGCAATAACACATACAATCCTGATGCCTTTTGTGATCAAGTTAAGAAGCAGCTGCATGAGGCATTGTGATGAGCTGGTGGTGCTAAGGTATTGTTCCAGCTAGGGAAAGGGTCTTTCAGGTCTAGGCTGCCCAAAAGCATGTGCCGAGGGGAGCAAGGGGAAGAGATGGTGAGTGTGAAAGAAGGAAGTAAGAGTTCAGCCAAATGATCCACAAATGTGCATATCTGAACACATTTATATGCCCAGGGTCAATGTAGACAGAGTTTGCTGAATTTCAATACATTCTCTGTAGAATCTTCTATGTATAACAAGCATCTGGTTTCTATTTTATGTCTGTTTGCACATGTGTGAATTAACACTTTTCGGTGCATGGGGGAGCTTGTATGCCAGTGAGTGTGGAAGCCAAAAATCAACCTTGAGTTTTATTACTTAGGAGCCACCCACCTTGTTTATTGAGACAATGCCTTTCACTGACTGGGGAATAAACTCTTAGGTGGGGCTGACTGCCCAGTGAGTCCCAGGGATCCACTGTCTGCCTCTGCAGTGTTGGATGGTATTACAAGTAAAGCTTACCATCGCGTCTGGATTAAAAATATTTATATAGAGATTCTTGAGGTTAGGTTCGGGTCCTTGAACAACAAGCACTTTACCAACTGAGTACCTCCCTAACCCTAAGTGTTTAGATTCTAAGTAAGAAAGCTCTTAGTTTCTATGCTTCTCTCAAAAGTGCCCTTAAAATTGTCGGGACCCCTAGTCAATCAAGAACTGTCTGGGCAAGAAAGGACCACTGTAATTCTAGAAAAGCACAGCCCCCCCATCTTTTTTTTTCTCTCTCTCTGCGATGTTCTAGCATCAGAACCCTCATTTGTATGTCTTTTGCTGTTTTCTCTTCTTCTATCTCTCCTCCATTCAAATTCATCATCTTATTTTTTTTCCATTTCATCCCTTTAGTACAGACTCATCTATCTATACCTTCATCTTTCAATATCACTGGATAAAAGAACCTAAGCAACTGTGCTTCTTGGATCAAAGCCCTGAGTATTAACAAACCATGATCATACGCTGGTGTGTGTACTTCTGTCAAGGGCTGTGTCTGGCAGCTCTTGCTGTGAGTTGTGTACTTGAGCATCCCAGACTGTAAATCCAAGTTACAGGTGGATTAAAATATCTTGTCTGCTCTACACAGGTCTAGAGGGGAGAAAGGGGGGAAGCCTGCTCTGTAAGCCGGACTATAATCAGAGACAGTGCATCTTTCATAGCCTCTTCAGTGTCAACAGTTTTATTAATGACTCTCATATTTCAGCCATATGTAGAATAAGGCAGGGTTTGAAGAAATAGTTATGTGCAGCTTTTTCACAGCTGCTGTAATATTTTCTGGTCCTCCAGAGCCTACGCAGTTTCCACAGAGTTTGGGTTATTTGTGAAAAATGATTGTTTAGGACAATACTTAAGGTTTCAATTTAGTGAGACCTCCTCCCACCGCATCCATCTCTGATTTGACAGGTAAAAAAAAGTAGTGAGGATTTTGCAAGATGGTAAGGTGCTGAGCAATTGATGGTTTTTAAAGTTTTCTACAAAATTATTTTCACCTGACTCACCTGGAGATTCCCAAAGGCACGTGACACTCCCACCACAGCTGAGGATCATTGCAGAGAGGGGAGCAGAGCACAGGAAGGGACCTCAGGCTCCACTTACTCCCTCACGTTTTAGCTCATAAGGTCCACACTTTTCTCTGCGACCATTTTCATAGTGCTATGTGTAACAGTTGACTGTATTCAAGTCGTTTGATATTTTGCTACGATGACAAAACACCAGCTGTTCATTGCAGCAGAGGTTCACTTTTTGCTCAAACAACATCCACATGGGGGCTCTCCATCATTAGATTACTTTCCTGTTGCAACACCTCCCTGCTGAAATTTTCTTCTACAATCACAAGCTGCCACAAGGAGAAGGTAAAGGCTTGGGATGAATCACTGCCATCTAAATGCCATCACTTCAGAGTGAAGCATAGCAATGCCTACTTGACTAAAGCAGATCCAAGGGCTCTGTCTAAGCTGGGGTGGAAGAATAAGATTCATCATAGGAGTGGGATCTGTTGAAATATGAAGCGGCGGCGGGGCTGCGTCCCCAACACCCCGGCCACTTGGCTAGCTCATGCCCGAAATAACAACACACAAACTGTATTCATTTAAGAACTGCTTGGCCCATGAACTCTAGCCCTTACAGGCTAATTTTCGCACCTGGACTAGCCCATTTCTAATGATGTGTGTAAGCACCCCAAGGTGCGCTTACCGGGAAGATTCTAGCCTAAGTCCATCGTGGGTTGCAGCTGCCAGGGAGAGCAGAGCATGGCGGCTGTCCGGTCTCTCTGGAAGCAGCGCAGAGTCTGACCTCACTTCCTCTTCCGCCCAGAATTCTATTCTGTTTACTCCTCCCATCTATGTTCTAACCTATGAGGCCAAGCAGTGTGTTTATTACTTAACCAATGAAATCAACAGATTGATATGACACTCCCACATCAGGGATCAGTTCATATAAGCAACATTTGCCACAGGACAGGGTTCAATGCATATTTTTCATGGATGTGTGTGATGTGGGATACCCCTCTGTATGCTGTGAATATGTTTTATTTCCATTGGTTAATAAAGAATCTGCTTTGGCCTATGGCAGGGCAGAATATGGATAGGTGGGAAACCCAAGCAGACAAATAGAGGGAAAAAGACGATAGAGTCGGGGAGACACCACCAACCACTGAAGGAGTACGATGCCAGAGCATTACCAGTAAGCCATGGAGTACGTGGTGATACACAGATTATTAGAAATGGTTTAATTTATATGTGGAGCTAGTCAGTAAGAAGCCTAAGGCATTGACCAAGAAATTTTAATTAATATTAAGCCTCAAAGTGATTATTTTATAAGTGGTTGTGGGGACTGGCAGATGGGAGATAAACCAATCCAGTGGGACAGTTGAGACAGAGAAAAGGTTCCAGTTTCATGCGTGGTTGATTATGTTTCATTTAGCCACAGGAATAACCTCAAAGAATACAGCTTTAAGTGATTTCGATTCTATATAAACTTGAGTATATAGTTTGCCGAACTTCTAGGCTACATGGTCTAGCCCATCACTCCTAAGCTAAAGCTTGCATGCAGTATTGCTGTCCTGAATGTGATAGGCAGTTATATGATAATGCTAAGTACTGTGGAACTAATCAGAGTGAGGATATGGTACCAAGTCCGACAACTGGCACACAGCAAAAGGCCGATGCTCTGCTGAAGCTTCCAGCACATAGAAGTTATTCTGGGTGAGTTGGTGAGTGATTGATGAAAGTGTATAAAGATAGGAGACCTTGTGCGCACTCCTGTAGACTTTGTAGACATGATACACACAGACTATTCTAAATTTGTAAAAACATTTTCTTCAGGAATCATTAGAATACTGACATCTTCTAACCTTATAAGCTATTAAAAATATTTTTTGACTCTATTTAGAAACAGAAACACATTGTATTACCATAGCACTTTTAAAGTTTGTATTTTATAATTTAGTTTTATATTTTAAATTACATATTTAAAATGTCTAAGCTGATTTCCTTTTGGTTAAGATTAAGTTACAAACACACACACATTACCCGAAGCCTACACAGGGTCAGGCTTACTACCACTCTGTTCCTCTTCTGTATCCTGTCCCTCTGGAGAGTCCTCAGGGCAGTAACATTTGAACTGTGACCTATGATCACAAAGCCTCTGCTGGAATACTTTGAGAAGGATCTGCCTGAAGCCATTTGAATTTAACTTAAAAGAAAAAAAAAGCAGAAGTAATATTCTCTAGCATATCCATTAAAGCATATTACAGTACATATATAAACTAGCAATGTGTAATACAATTGTTGTCTATTAGTTTTGTGACTGACAGTGCCCTAGTTTGTTTATACAGGTGACATGGAAAACTGAGCAAGGTATTGTGCTATGACATGGTCACGTCACTAGGTGGCAGTAGTTCTTTAGCTACTTTATGCCTTCACTAGCCACCATCACAGAACCAACCAGCATTCCTGGCAGGCTGGCAGGCTCTTGAGTCTAATTCAGAAGTTACTTCTGCTCTGTCACTCGTGGGTGAGCAG